ATGGGAAGGAAGTACCATACGATCGATTGACCACAGTATACCGGGTGCGTCTCAGAAATGGCTCACCCCTATAACTTTTTTATTTTTTCAGATAAAAAAAACATTTGGTATGTATAGTCTGTCCAACGACAAAATCCTTGGCAGTGATAGATGTGTCTGTCATTTTAATTTCAAAGTAGTTTATTTTATTTTACAAAGAAATAAGTTGGTACAATTGGAACGCATATTTAAATTTTGAGTGACAAGTGATTACTTCAAAATATTGTGAAAAAAAAACTGCATAAAACTGAAAAAATCTAATCTTGGTTAATTAACTTTAATCTTAATTTGTTCTGCTAGTACTAAAATGTATTATTTACCTATCATGTGATGTTATTTTACAGATACTCCAGTTTTTGGTACCATATACGAGATGGTATACAACTTTATTTGTGGCTAATACAACTCTCTGGCCATAGTCTCTGGTAAACTGTGTTTCTGGCGGTCTCTGGGCACCGAATATTAACTGTAAACTATGGTCTGGGCCAACACTTAATTTTCCCTCGAGTTTTCCTCCACTTTATTTTAAAAAACACGAAACACAATTAACAACACAGTCCAAAATGCAAAATGCAAAATATTTATCATTTCTATTTGACACAAAATTATAACCTATAATTTGGCAAGACTTTGAAAACTCTCAAAAATCTTAAGTCGAGTTCATACGCATCGGAGTCCGTTTGTCGTTCATCGTTGCGTCAAACCAATAATATTGAAATATGATCTGTCGTTTTTGAAATAAACCAATAAAACTGGTTACAAACAACAAGAGACGACGCATGACGTGTTACTTATAAACTCATCCATAGTTAACTTAAAAAATATTAGAAACTTTTTTTAGTGAAATAAATGGATTGGTATGGAAGTCATCTGCTTTTTTTCTGTCATCGTCTGTCGAAATCTTACCTGAGAAAAAAACAGAGTATAGTATTTAGTATGTGACATAAATTAGGATCGATTGACGTATTCAATTGTTTTCGGTCACTTCCTGTTTCACCGGAAATGACTACAATTTTGATTTTTAAATGGCACCATTAACGACAATTCGACTCGAAATACCAAGTGTGCGGTACCAAACTATTCGTAAAAAATGCTTTTTCCAAATGTGCTAATGAGCCACCCTTGTTCCTTTTGAAAAAATTGACTTATGATTAAAAATACGATTTGAGCATCTTTTAACCGACTAGGACAAAAGACACGAAAAATATTAGACAATAAAATCTATTTTTGCAAGGCTCCTTGATTAAAAATTAGTGTTTTTAACACAACTATGGCACTCTCGATTGAAATTTAAAATACAATTTTTTTAAGCGAAATGTCAAAAGTTGAAGTATGATATGCCATTCTATTCAGAGTGTCTATTGAATAAAGTAGAAAGATATCGAGGATGCCATTTAAAAATCAAAAGTTGTAGTCATTTCCGGTGAAACAGGAAGTGACTAAAAACAATTGAATACGTCAATCAACCCCCAATTCATGTCATTTACAAACATACCAAATTCGTTTTTTTATGAAAAAATAAAAATGTTATAGGGGTGAGCTACTTTTGCCCGGTATAATTCTTTCTTCAAAATTTAACGACGGTATTGGCATATATTTTCAGGATCTTCTGAAAAACAGAAAAAGAGTATTAAGCAAATAAAAATAGTCCTATTCAGGGAATGTATGACCACAGATTAGGTATTCTATAAGTATACAGATAAAAATCTTGTCCCTAATTCGTGGTACGAAAATTATTTTTTATGGCGATGTGCAAACGAGTAAAATTTCCTGTGCGTAAAAATAAACTCGCGTAAAATAACAATAAACAGCGTAATAGAGAGATATCGCTAAACCGAATAGCGTGCATGGACGTTAATAAGGCCAGGTGTTATTTCCTTTACATGAGGTGGTATTAAGTCTCTTCATTTATAGTTATCGGATCGGAAAGAATTCTGTTCGCGTCGCGTCCGCTATATAAACTTAACCTAACTTTGAATTTAAAACTTTGAAATTGTTTTGTTTACTAGGTATTTTAAAACTAAAGGGCTAAAGTGCTTATTTCCAGTGCTTTATTGTTCAACGTCTGCCAGTGGGCTTAGGGCAATAAGCAACAAATTCTCTTAGAAGGGCTAAGTCGTCATCTGCTGTAAACTTAAGCCTCTTTATAGGTTCTGTAATATTGGAAGAGGTGGAATCCATATTTTGAGCCATATTTATTTAATTAAAACTAATCCCAGCTACTTAAATATCAAATTACCTAATAAAACTAAAGTAATAATTCACAACAATTCAAACATAACCTAAAATAAAAGATCTCGCCCCGGTTGTCAAATACCCGCTATTGCCCATTTAAACAATTTTTTAACGTTATTTAGAAATAGCGCTTGGGGTAATTGATCCGCAAATTACGTCCGGCGGTAACGTTATTAGCGGGTGTTGCGTTAAAAATTGACTCGCGCATATCGTAACCATGATAAGGTACGCGTAAATACTGCATGACGCTATTTGGTTTTCCGATACCTCTCTAATAACTGTGCCGGTCAGGCGCTGTGCACAATTTTAGAGGCCATAAGTGGACGTGCTATGTGCGCAAACTAGTAACCTAACGAGTGCCCGATTCCGAAAATTGGAACCACGAAAAACAATAAAGAAAAAACAAAGTTTATAATCTGTATAATCTGTGGTATGACGGTGATAAATTCATTCAACGATCCTCCCCCCTTTGTTGGAACAGTTATTCGCGTCGCTCGTCAAAGTTGCGAAGAAAACCCATCGAAGGAATTTCATCTATATTTGTTTGACCCAGGGATTGAGGTCTAGTCTCAATCCTAAGACTTGAAAAGTTGAGAATTGGAAAGTTAAGAATTGGGAAGTTGCCCCACACATTTAAATATCGGTTCCGCAATTCTTTTCCGTATAAAAATATTATTCTGCAGTTTTTATCTTTCTATGCATAATAAAACCAACACTGGATATTTAAATACTAATCGATATTTCTACTATTTCCGGGTAGGAGTGTGCCCCATTTTCGTATCCTGTATGGGATTTGTCGTTTATGAGTAGAGATACGAACTACAGCGATTCATATAATAATAATAATAATAATAATAGCTCCCGTATATAGCGTTTAACGCCTTGGGAGTAGCAAGGTACAGCTTGCCATGCTAGAGCCGTTCGATATACAAGGAAGGTAATGTGGCTAGCACTACGCTTCAACCGCCTATTATTACCGCAGGATTGTGAATCCCAACTACTCATTTAAGGCTGAGTCGACCTAGGTACCCAAACAATTTTTATTTTATTAAAAATAGTCGACTGATGAAATGCCGGGTGTATGATTCGAACCCACAACCTTGAGATTGGTAGACGAGAGCCTGTACCTCTACGCCACCGGGCACCTACGTCACTACAGGGATTCATCACTATGCTATTTTTTATAAAACTAAACATACTACACACAGGTTTATCCTAGCCCCTTTAATTCTTTAAATACAGGTCAAATTTGAAAATGTTGCATTTTTCCTCTCCTTCGTGTCTTGGTTATCTTAAAACTAAACGAAACTGTGTCGCGTAGAGTTTTTTTCACGAAAAATTCAGTAGCGTAACTAGTTTTTCGCTAGCAGTCATTTTTGAAATATTACTCTTATTTACCTTCTTATTAGCCGACCATACCAACAGGTATGGTAGGCTATTAATATCGTCAAAAAAAGTTTTTTTAATTTCACTCAAAATGAGTTATTTGGGTCATAAATGACCTAAATACAAAATATTTTCATGGTGTCTGTCTGTCTGTCTGCCCATATGTCGGTCCGTCCGTCCGTTCGTTCGTCCGTCCGTCTGTCTGTCTGTCTGTCTGTCTGTCTGTCTGTCTGTCTGTCCGTCCGTCTGTCCGTCTGTCTGTAACACGATAACTCAAAAACCGCTAAACCGATTTTAACCAAATTTGGCACAAAAATACTGTGGCACTCGAGAATCTGGTCATTAATTTTTGGTGGGGGTTGGAAGGGGCTATGGGAGGGTGTTAAAAATTTTAAAAAATCGTAACTCCAAAATTACAGTAGCTAGCGAAACGCGGTTTTCAATTTAAGATTAGGAATAATATTTGCAACAAAATTTGTAACAGCATCAAAATCAAAGTCGCAGTTTTTGAGATAATTGAAACTAAAAGAACTGCCTACCAACTTTTTATTAACATATTTTAGTATGGGCTCCCGGCGCCATTTTTTTTTCAATCAGACAGAGACACCTTGTATATTATTTTTTGTTTTATTTGCCTTGTTATGGGTTTTCCACCAAAGATTTTCCAAAAATATATATTCTATACTTCGACAAATAAGGTAAAAATGCATTACTTAACTTTTTAACATAAATCAACCTAGTTTAAAAGAGTATTAATTTATTTATTTTGAACCACATAATTTTATTGCTTTCCATTGTGTTATCTTAATAAATTGCACTGAAAATTTACATATGCAGCCTTTAGATAACGCGCTGTCAATCAGAGCTATTGATATTTTTGATACACTTGTGCAATAAGTTTACACACAGAAACTAGTGTGGAGTAGCCAATACCCAAATTCCTCATTACCTTGTTTATAAAAATAAGTATAGAGTATTGTATTTTTAGAAAGTTTATAAAAGGCAAATAAAATAAAAAGTAATAATATTCAGAGTCAGGGAATTAAAAAAATGAGTTTGGGTTATACTAGTTACGCCACTGAATCCTACGTGAAAATGCTTTATGGGTCTCAGTTTTCACCTTCTCGAAAAGTTATAACCGAGATTCGAGAGGAGTTGTAAAATGTAACCATTCCAAACTCGCATGGTTTGTCTAAGGTTGAAAAGTATAATCAGTCATAATATTCTCTGTTGAAATCAAAATATTACTGTTTGCAATAATTTTGGATATGTATTTATTTTTTATTATCTGCTTTTCACTTGTATTCTATGGTATTCTACCTAACTGTTTCCTTTTACAGTTTGACGGCAGCCTGGAACGCCTAGCCAAGGAATCGGAAATGCTGCGCCACGCCTACGGCCACTACTTCGACCTCACCATCGTCAACAACGACATCGACGAGACGATCGCCGCGCTGGAGACGGCCATCGGCCGCGTCCAGACCACGCCCCAGTGGATCCCCGTGTCCTGGGTCTACTGACAGCAGGAGAACCAGGACTATTACGGGTCTCTGCAGTATTTTTAACGTTGGCAGTACCGGGGGTGGTAGTGGACAGCCGGGGGCGCCCCTGGTTGTCGAATACGACGAGGATGATCTGGTGTGAGGGTTGAACATGTAACAAACTCGAATTTTTGGCGAAAAAGGGACGATTTTTAACGTTTTTGTTGTTAAGTCTTTGTTGAGTGTTTTATTTTAATATATTTAGTAGGTGTCTCAGTGCCCCGATTTCATTGGATTGGATTTTTTAAAGTAGAAACATAATACAGACCTGGCTATTATAAAATTGTGGTCTGGATTTTAACGTGATGATAAAGACAGTGATAAAGTATAAATACAAACGTGTTAAAAAGAGAAAAAATGGACTGCTTCATTTGTTCTTTGTGGGGGTCAGTTGTGTTCCATTTAAAAAATATATATATAACTATCCTAGATCATACAGACTTACGTGGATAAGTAAATCACTATGGAAACTGTCGCAAACATATTAACGACTTCCATTTATCTTCTTTTTTTGTTGCATACGCGGTGCTTCTACTCTATCTATCCTTGTCGAGGACCTATCGTCCGCGCGCCATATTTAAACATTAATTTTAAAAATTTAATTTGTAAAATGCTTATATTTGAACAATAAATTGAATGTTCACTGTCTCAAAAATTAAATTATATAAAAAATAAATTTATCCACTCCGTACGAATATCAATATTCTTAGGAAATCTTACAAGAAAGTATGCATGTGGCTTAATATAAATAAAAGAGCAACTGAATACTTTACTTATTGCCTATGAAAAGATAATTCGGGAACCTTATTAGAACTTTCACACACTAAACACTTTCTAGCCATTTTTACGAGTATTTAGAAAGTCCAACGAAAAAAAAATAGAAATATAATTGCACAAACTTAACATTAACTTCTCACTGAACACACTTGCATCCTTGGCTATATAAAAGCGGTCGATAAAAGAGTAATTAATACGATTTTTAAAATAAAAACGCAAAAAACAAGCGTCGTTACACAATATAAATAAGATGACATATGATTATGACCATAGATTATGACAATATGATGACAATGAAAAGTTGGTTTTTATAACAATGTTTAATTTGTACTTACTAAACCGTATAAACCGTGTAAAATTGTAATTATTTTGGAAATACGTGCAACTTTTAATGCGCATGCGCAAAGTAAGTCCCTCGAGTAAGACAAACTTATTGAACTGATTGTTTCGTAAGTACAATAAAGAAGGTTTGAAAATGGCATGTCGTGATGTTGGAGACATATTTTTTAATGCTAAACTTATGGCGCTGATTTATCCACCATATGATCTAGGGTAACTATGAAAATAAATAATTGTTGGATAGAACTGTTTTAATAAAGAAAGGGAGCGAAGTCTAAACAAATTATTTTAATCATATACCGTGCTGGCACCTCTTACTTTTGGGTCGGTATTTACATGTGTGGAAGTAAATCGCATAGGTATCTTATTAAGTCGGAGTGAGAGAAATGCGACGGTGTGCTGTTGCGGCGTTGCCACATTTCTTTGGCACGCCTTTCTCTATCAAGTAAAGTAAAATTACAATTACAAACCGCTAATTTTTTAAAGAGTTTTATTTTCGAAAAGATAACTAGATAATATCATTAGATATGTTTCTGAGCATCTGAAATGGAATTATAAGGATATCGTTAAGGCGTCCATCTTTTTATAACGAGAAAACGTAGTAATTCGCGATAATTTAAAAACTCAACTTTTTAACATAACACGCGATAACTCAAAATAAAACACTTAATCACCACAATACACCAAAACACTTTTACTTTTACACTGGACGCGCGTTTCGCTAACCATGTTAGCATTTGTTTTTGATGTTTGTGGCGATTTAGTGTTTTATTTTGCTGTGTGACACCAAAAATTCCAACCCCCAACTGTAATAACGCGATAACTCAAGAACTACTTTAGATATTGAAACTTTTTTTATTTTCAGATCTTTTAGAAGATTTTTAAATAAGAAAAATTCGAAATGATTTTTCAATTCAAAATTTAAAAAAAACTTCCATTTACTTTTAGTGCATTGCAATTTTCAGCAATCGTGTAACTTTTTTATTTATAAAATTTTCACATACTGTCTGCGAAGGAAATATAGCAGAAATATTAAGAAAGTTTTGAAAAAAAAAACTACAAACAATTATTTCTAATGAATTTCGAGATATCAATTTTTGAATTCATAGTTCTAATAGCGCGACCACTGTCGAACACCAACTCAATTCCACTTATTTCTACCAAAAGTGCAAGTGTTTCTAACTTACACTTAAAAATTTACAAGCTCTAGGGAAAATTACAACGACTCGTTAATAAATAAACAAATAAAGTATCAGAAGACCACGTGAACCACGTTAAATCGTGAAGCTGAACGCATAATGTATAATCTTTCCTAGAATTTTAAGTACTGATACGGAATATGGTACTGATTGGGTCGACTGGTCGACCGCGACGAATCTGCTATATCCCCTTCCACGTCTTTTAGCAATGTGCACAGCTTCTCGGTTTATTTCATACGTTTGGCAACGTTTTTACTGTTCTCTCTTTGTTCAGTAAATTATATAAACGCATTTTACTCTTTTTACATACGGAAATCTCGATCCAAGACTAACCTTTGTCAGCCCTTAGTATAATATCGAGTATAATATATTAAAATTCAATAGATAGATAGATATAGAAAAAATATATAGAACATATGCCAATATTTTTAGTTCCTATACAATGATATATAAAAAAAGCTAATATTTTTTTTAAATAAAATTATATCTTTATAATTTATTTTGTAATGTTTTTTTGTTATTTAATATTTATTTGTATTTATATTTGCTTCTATTATGATTAGTATATTTATGTCTAAAAAATCGTCTCTTATTTCGCCTAAATGAACTCTGAACCAAAGTGACAACTCGCTACAAGCGAGTCTATAAAATTTGTTAAGGACTTCCAAAGATCAATTATATAAAAGTTAGATCTTAGATAAGAGAGATTTAAGGAAAACTAACGCTCAGTCGGCATTATTTACTAACGAATGAACACCCTGTACGTAATGTTTTTTGTAGTTAGATAAAATATATAGGACAGTATAAGGTATGGATTGTATCATTCAGGATATACAATACAACTGGTATTTTACATACAGCACTGAGTGTCATTGATTCAGCGGATTACGTCACCTGGTAGCATTTGCTTATAAACTACTCTTATTTCTTATTTATTGCGATGATTTTGAAATTTTGACTAATAATTTCATTACTGTGAATTACGCTTGCGATAAATTGTGAAGCGGGTTTATAAACTATTACAAATTATTGATCTGTGGCTACTTGTAAAAACTTGTGGTATACTACATGCAGTCATAACATACGCTGGAGCATACCATGTGTATCTTGAAATCAACTAAATCTTTTAAACGGTCTATTAAAAAATGTGCCATATTTACTCTTATATCTAAATATAGTTCTTTGGACACTGGTTGAATTCATAAAACCTCGTCTTTTCACTATATTATGTCTTAGAGACATTAATTTGTCTTGTGTATAGCGGGGCACAGTTTGCTATATGTTTACTAAAGTTTGTACGACTCATGGAAGATTTTGACAGCTGACATCTAGAAAGATTACAGAAAATACAATTTACCTGTTAAATAATCATAACAATTGAGGGGTTCAGAAGTGAACTGGATCATGTCCTAGAAGATAATTATAGAGAAAATGAGAGTTAAAGTTTTTTAATGTTGCTTAATTAAAATAAAACAAGCTGGAGAAGAAAACTTAACACAATGCTTAACCCTCAACTGGCGTGGTAAATTTTTGTAACGCTTATGGCATGCTGGGGTCCCACGGACCCCAATTTATTTTTTCAGTTAAAAATACACGATGAAGAGATTTTATAAAAAGCTTGTTATTTTAACATTGTTTACAATATATTCAAACTTGTGAACAAATAGTTACATTAATATTTTTAACAAATTAATAAGAACAGACACAAAAATAAAGTAAAATGCATTTTTTAGGCATTTTTGACAACAGAAATATAACTTGGTTAAGAAACCCATAGAAATTAAAAACATATATATATATATATAGTCTGTCCAACGACAAGATCCTTGACACTGATAGATGTGTCTGTCATTTTAATTTCAAAGTAGTTTATTTTATTTTACAAAGAAATAAGTTGGTACAACTGGAACGCATAGGCATAGCAGGAAATTAATATATTTAAAATTTGACTGACAAGTGTGGACAAGTGATTACTTCAAAACACTTCAAAATATTGTGAAAAAAACTGTAAAAAACTGAAAAAATGTAATCGAGTTATTTTATTTAACAAAAAACGGCATGTGTTAATACAAAACAAACAAGAACAAGACACCACATACCAAAAAAATAAAAAAAAAACTATTTCTTACTTTCAAGCTTCATGAAACTTCCTGCATTTATGATTATATTTATCAATATAAAAAATGTCTATACCTATGTGGCGGATTCATCTATCCAAAAAAATCCTTATGGGTTTTTCGCCACTGCACTGCAAGAAAAATCTACAAAATAAAATAGTTATTTTTTGTAAACACTTCTGGCGTTAAACCTAAACGAAATGCATCAAAAATATAACTATTATTTATTAATTTTTATCAATATAACTTATGTACAAATACAGATTTGTAATATTCCACAGGAATAAATAAAACAACATAAATAAAACAAACTATTTTATTAATAATAACACTTACCAAATTTTATACCTCAAATGTTGATTAATTAACTTTAATCTTAATTTTTTTAAACCAATACCTTTTGACATTATTTTTCTGCAGTACTAAAATCCATTATTTACCTATCGTGTGATGTCGATATTTTACAGCTACTCCAGTTTTCAGTATGTGTTTAGTATGGTCCTACCATATACGAGATGCACTTATCTGCGACGAGATGGTATACGAACTTAATTGATGGTAACTTTATTGGTGTATTAGACTTTCTGCCTGGGTATTAACCATAAACTGTGCTCTGGGTCTACAGTTAATTTTCACTCGATTTTTCCTCCACTTGACTTCAAAAGACACAAAACACACGTAATAACACGAATCAAAATGCATCATCTACCAAAACGTAGGGTATTTGACAAAAGTTGACACAAAATTATAACTTATAATTTGGCAAGACTTTGACAAGCGTCAAAAATCTAAAGGCGAGTTCATACGCATCGGCGTCCGTTTGTCGTTCATCGTTCCGTCAAACCAATAAAATTGAAATACGATCTGTCATTTTTGAAATAAACCAATAAAACTGGTTAAAAACAACAAGAGACGACGCATGACGGATTTATATTTAAACCCATCCATAGTTAACTTAAAAATTATTAGAAACTTTTTAGTAAAATAAATAGATTGGTATGGGACGACATCTGCTTTTCTTCTGTCATCGTCTGTCGAAATCTTACCTGAGAAAAAAAACAGAGTATATATATGGTGACAATTTTTCAATCAAGTTATCAAACTCCTGTACAGACAATCTGTGAAAATTCCTAAATTTTTTCTCATCTCTTGTACTCATTTTTTGAATTAAATTGCGATAAGCACCTTGTTGCTTACGAAATTTTAATATTTCACATGTCCCAAATGACCCATAAATGACCTATAAACCTGTGCTATAAACCCGTTCTTTTCTACGTTTTAACAATAAGTAAATGGCAATTTTGCGCCTTATTCTGTTCCAATCCCACAATCGTAATCGATATTCATAATCATTAAACAAATTTAAACTCATATTGTATGCTATAAAATGTAAAATAAAGATCGCAAACACGAATAAATATGTATAAAACAAATTAAGTTATCT